TTCCTCAATGAATGACATTAACTCTGATACATTCTTTAACTTAAAGATATACAACGAACGAGAATTCAACCTAATGATTGGTGCTAGGACACGATATTTTTGAACGCTTAAACAAAAACTAATGGCGTCGTGCCTGCCTCTCGTTGCCAGTCCATGAAGTAACTTACTATATCTAACAAATTTGGGGTCGTCTGCAAAATCATCAACTATGATTAAAGTTGAATGTAGTTTCTTCATCTTTTGTTCTTTCATATAATGAATTATCTTTCTTTGTGTGTTAATTATTTCCTCCAGTTCTTCAGGTTGGTAGGTGTCATAATATAACTTTTCTTTTTCATCATCAACCTTCATATTATCTTTTTGATATTTCTTGACTTCAACGAAGGTAGGGTCATTATGAACCGACGGACTAAAAATGAATATACGGGCGAAGCAGTCCCTATAGACATTTAGGATAAGGTTTTGGATTAAAACTGTTTTGCCACCCGTTGATGAAGCAACAACAATTGAGCGAAAAGGTAGTTTTGGTACATGTTCATATTTAGATTGTTTGAAATCGTAATCAGTTATATTTATTGGTTTTATTATTGGAACATCAGACATAATAAAATAATATTAAAGTTATTTAGAAAATATTTTATATTTATTATTTTATATGAATAGAAGTTATTCAGATTATATTGATATAATAGATAAAGTAGAAAATATAGAACAAGTTGTTATAACTGATAATAGATTTAAAAAAGTATGCTATTTTGTTTTAGAATTAATTAAGTTTGTGATACAATATATTAAAAATATAAATATTAATATAGATGGGAAGAAAGAAAAAGAATAAGACTGAACCAGTTGTTTCTTCAACTGATGAAGAAATTGTTAAAGAAACATCAGTTATTGAGTTTGCTTGTCCAATGTGTAAAAAAATCTTAGAAATGAAAAATGAATTAGAAATACAAAAGAAAGGAAACTGTAAATGTTCGTGTATTCCGACAAGTTTCAAAATAAGTAGAAATGATAAGAAAATGAATATTGATAAAACTAAAGACAGTATAAACTTAGAAACAGATGTTCATAATATTGCTATACGATTTGGGAGGGGAGTTACTCCATCAGATAATGGTGATAAGGAAACTCAGGAAACTGTTAAACAAATAATGAAAAAATGGTATTTAAAGAGTAGATTTAACATAATTGCAACATTTAGTTTTAAAAGTTTAGATTTATAATTTAGTATCTATGGAGGAACATTTAGCGAACATTGACAGTAGTTTGGAGTTGTTGTTTCCAAGATTAGAAAAAGTGTTGGAGCAAAATGAAAACATACTGAAAATCTTAAAGAGCATGAATATTAAACCTACATATAATAACAATAACAATTATCAAGCAAAAGAAGTAGATAGAGACAGTAGCGAATACAAAAATAAACGAAACATTTATGTTAAAAAACTGAATGAAAAAATCATAAAAGAACCTAAACAATCAAGTCTGGATTACTATCAAGTCAAGTATAAAGAAGATACCAAGAAATACGTTTAATCATTAACTAACAAAATTTCGTGTCTCAAAAGCGGTTTGTTTATTCCTGCTACTTTGTAAGTTTTTTTTACCCATAATATCATATTCAATTTTATCAATATTGAATATTTTATTAGACCATTTAGAGTTATACTCCTTTCTGTCGGTGTAATTACCCCTTTTCTTTTGGAACACTTTTACCTTGTCGTTCTCCTCTATTTTGGGATACTTTCTTTTGTTTTTTTCTCGTAGTTTAAGATTGACCTTTACATTTATTTCATTGTCGTCCTTGTGTGCTTCAGACGGTGCCATCCTTGTTGATGAGTGAGATGTGCTGTTATACTGTTTCAATGCTTGCGTTAGGGCGTCGGTCCATTTCATGTTGTTAAACCTAACTCTATCGTGAATTTTGTTTTTCATCGTTCTAATAAAACGCTCGGCCACATTTGCGTGGGTCTTCGTGACGATGTGGTTTATTCCTTCACTGTTGAAGAAATCCTGAACTTGATTTTTAGTTGCAAACGCTCCGTCGTCATCAGAATACACGGACATCGGATAACCCATCTTTTTAAAGCTTGTTCTCAACGCCTTCAAAACGTGCTCTCCGTCTCTTTCCTCCATCGGTATTACATCTGCTAATTTACTGAAGATGTCAATCACGACTAAAGCATACTGTGGAACGTTCTTGTCTTTTGCTAAAGGTGACATATGCATTATGTCTATTTGATATTCATATCGTGCGAATGGAGCGGTATAGGAATTAGTACCTCTATAATTTTTGATTTGTTTATTTGGTTGTTTCTTTAAGAAAGACTTTACATCGTCTATTGTTATTGTTGGGTCTTCTTCCTTTGCCTTCTTGTGTGTCGCTTGTATGCTTCCGAAACCCTCGTCTAAGTCGTAATAGATGTTGCTGATTATTTGGTCTTTTGTTAATCTCGCCATTATATTAAATTGTTAGAAAATATTTTTTCAATATAAACCCCCACCCCTCAACATAAAATAAAAAACTACTTAAAGAAAAATGGATATAATATAGTAAGAGAAAAAAATGACACTGCTTAATTATAACCATTGTCCTTGTAAAAATAAATGTAAGTCTGTCGTGGCACTAGCTAATATTTTACCTGTTGATGTGTGTAATCTTATAGGAGGCTATATTAGAGAAACATGTTTTGATTGTTGGTATTTGATGGATGAAGAAGAAAATTTTAAGAGAAATAAAGACATTCCTGAAGAAGGACTGGAAAAAGCAGAACTTCAATTAAACATTATTAAACAAATGCAAAATAATGTGCAAAATAATGATATTACACAACTAACAGGATACTATTTTAGTTTAAAACATTACAGAAAAAACATTGACAGAGTATTTGATATACAAGAAGTTAAAGAACGGTTTAAAAATAGAAAAATGTATTATCAAGCATTAAAATCATACTGTAAGAATAATGAATATGAAGTTTGTTTAGTTTTAAGACATTGTCTTAACATTGAAGATTTAAAAACAATTAAACGTTGTGGGTTTAGCTTTCCAAACCTAAACAGTTGGTGGTCATATAGAAATAACAATTATTGTATGAGATATATTGTTAGCGAATTAATTGAAATTTACACAGACCAATTAATAAAAGGATACGAGCATTATTGTTGTGAGTATAGTATGAGTTATAGTGGTTGTATCGCTGGTGAGATTGAATACGGGTAAAATTAACTTTTGTTTATTAATATTATTATCTTATAATATGATTAAACATTGTTTTATAATCTAACAAGAAGGTTAAGACATTTAAATTAAACCTGAAACCCAGACCAGCCGACCAGCAACCCCTAGCCAAAACTACTTAAAGAGAAAAAACCTTATATATAAAGAGAAAAATGAGTGAGGGTAAAATGCTAGAGAATAATTTTATGGTTGAGAATTGTGCTAGCTTACCTATGGAAGCATTGTTAAACATCGCTTCTTATATGAATGGCAATGAAGGGTGGCAAAGACTAAAACAGTGTAAAGCATTAAGGGTCTTACAAAGGAAATGGAAACCGTCTATTTTTGAACGAGAAGGAGAAGGAGAAAGTAGATATTATGTGTTGATTAGCAATATATGTTTGAAAGGTGATAAAGCACTTTCATATGCGTTGAAGCCACCAAAAGAATTATTAAGAGTGATGAAGTATGATGAAGAAATAAAGGTTGGAATAGAAATTAGTTCGAAAATTATGTATAGGAATAATATTTGCAACTGTAGTTATTATGCATCAAGCGAACAGAACAAGATAACAAGTAGAGCGTCATTACAATTTTATATTGAAAAAATAGTTGAAGAAATAAAACAGACTATGAAACGAGACGAAATCATTACTATAGAACATATTACATTTGAAATTTTCACATAACAGAAACAATGATTTCATTGCTTAATCATAATATTTAATTATAATATGATTAAACAGTGTAAACTTTTATAACCTTTCATTATACTGTAATTTTAACCCATAACAAAATTTCAATGACAAAACATATATCAAAACAAATACATCACCAACACCCCAGAACTTGATAACTACTAAAAGGGCTACCTCTTTCAAATGAAAAAAATGTCGGCCCCCAGCCCAACAATGAACAAGGCGACAATTTACCCAAATGATTACCTTAACGAAAACGATAAATAAGCTCCCCGAAAACCCTCTTTTCAAAACGAATAAAGGGGAACACAGATTTGAGATGAACATAAAAACCAGAACAGGCAACCATCAACAGGCCACCCCCCGGGGCCCCCCTTTTTACCATTTTTTGGGGGGCCCCCAATTCCATTTCCCTAGTCTTCCAAATAAAAGGGTACATGGAACCAGAAATGGATTTCCATTTTTAAGGGGGTTGCAGGCAACCTGGAGAACGGAATCGTGGACTAAAACCCGTGGGCCCCACCAGGCACCAAGTGCAAAATGTTGACGCATAGGGAGCCAAATTCAAAATATTGGTTGACGTTGGAAGGGGAGCAAAAAGTTAAATTTTGGCAGTTAAGTGGTTGGATTCCAACCACCAAACCACAATAAGCAAAAAAATCAAATGTTTCCCAACAACAACCAGGAAATTCTAGGGGTAGTGTCCATTTCCATTCTTTCCAGGGATCCGAATTTCTGTGCAGGAAACCGCCAAAAACCTTGGGGCGGCGCTGGCTTTTGAAAGGAACGATGGTTGAAAAGAATGGGGAATCAACCCCTAGAAAAATCGGGTCACCCCAAATGGGTTGCATGCCCTCTGGAAACATGGGCTACAACCTGTGGGCCCTGGGGCAAATTTTGACTCATAGGGAGCCAGGGACCACCCAAGTTAAGGGACCGGTCCTTTGACCATGGCACACTTGGTCACTTTCAAGGGGTTTATGGATCGAATCTAATTCATTGAGCTGGCCCTCCGAGCCCCTTTTTCGGCCAGTCAGAAAAAGGATCGACTTAGATCCCAGGGTGCCACACAAGGAGCTGATCTAAGCGAAGCTGGTGCCCCAGGGGTGAGAATGCCTCTCACTTGCAGCCAAGCCCATGTTTCCATTTACCAGGGCAACCCATTTGGGGTACCTATTTTTGACCCACAGCCATATGGGCGTTTCTCAAAATAGGGGGCTGGTTCCACAAACCCTTAAGAAACCAAGCAAAAGAGGTCCACCATTTTGAGAAACTCCCTTCTGATGTCGCCCCACTTGGACCACAAAATTGTTCTTCCACCCCAACGAAAAGAAAAAGGCCGACCCTTCAGAAAGTGGCAAAGAAACAAAAACAACACCTAAAAGCGTGGAAAAAGCAAATCAAGAAACTTCGGCAGCCCACGCAAGGGAACCGGATCCCAACACATCCCTTGATTTTTCTCTAAGGAAACTTCCACAAGTGCCGAGCCCACCCACCCCGCCCCCCCCCCCCCCCAAAAAAAAAAAAAGAAAGAAAAAGAAAACAAAGAAGACAAGTTCGCCTCTAAATAGGCAAAAAGGGGCCCAATGGCGAAACACCAAATACTGATTGAACTGTTTGTTTCTTCCCAAGCAGTTTTCGGCTTCAAGCAAGTCTTCTATGCGCAACCCTGCGAAAAGCTTCTCCCGTTGCCGGGCTGGTTGATGGGAAAACTGAAGGACAACAAAGGGACAAAAAACGGGAACCCCCAAACGGCTCCATTTTTCTGCCTTTGCACCTGGCAGAGGAAGACCAAGTCTTACCAAAAACATGCCCCCCCAAAAAGGAAGCCAACAACCACGAAAGCTCAAAATCAATTGTGTGAAACCCCAACAAATATCTTCAGATAAGTGAGGACCCTGACAGTGGCCCAAGCTCAGATTTGGAGATCTCAGCGCAACTCCGCAGCGAATTCCAGCGAAACCAGGGCCCCTGGACATCAGCCCTACGTAAAGGAGTCTCACTTTGGGTGGGCAACTGAAAGCGTGATGTTCCCATCCACTACCAAGTCAGGCCAAACCGGGTGTTCAAAACCCATGGAAACACTGGGCACCCTGAGAAAACCACCAACCACCCCACCACCCCCTCCCTCGCCCCACCCCACCCCACCCCACGCTAAGAAACCCACCCCTGAGAAAACCACCCCACCTATAGATTCCCCCCCCCACCCCACGCCCCTATAGCTCCCCCCCCCCACACCCCCTGCCTGGAGAAGATGGCCTTCTGACCCGGGCGCTGGGGCACGCGCAGCACCTCCTGATCTTCCAACAGGACGCATCCCCCGCAGCCCTCAACAGCCCCCCCCCCCCCAGAAACAGGAAGCTATCGGACCCCCCAAAACCAAGAAAAACATGAGGTTGTCTGGTCCAAGCTGTAGCTAGCTTCGATTTTCTCGGTTATATAGTCGGTTGGAGACCCTTTGGACTGTCCAAATTCGGTGGAGGCAGTTCTGATTCTGACACCTCATCGCTAAGCTGAAGGCTTTGGGGTCGATCTAGCTCCCTCGTTCCCAGGCTGGGAGGGGGGGGGGGTTTGGAGGGTTCCTGGTGAAAGGGGGGAGATGTTAGGTAAACCCACATCAATTCGAGGTAGTCCTTGTTCCCACTAACATGGCACCTAACAAGGAGCCCCTAAAAAAGGAAAACTCATCTTCCAGGTACCCTCCCACAGGTGCCATGTTAGTGGAAGGGAGTCCTCGTTCCCTTACTTGCACTGCAGCAGCAATTGCCTCCAAAACATGCGGCCGGCCGCTCCTCCCCTGTCTCCGTGTCGTGCACGGAGATGGCTGAGCTGCTGCTTGCCAACCAGTGGGCGCGGGTGGGGGACAGGCACGCCGACACCAAGGTGGGGAAGGTCCTGCACGGACCCTACGGCAGAAGTCCACCTCTACAAATCGGCGCATCAAAGCGTCCCCCAAAATGAGAGTCCTCTGAAACTGTTTTTTCCCCTAAATTCTATGACAATCGGTAAAGAAGTATTTCATGGGAACCCCGGATGACTGAACCGAACCAGTCGACTTTTTTGGGGACGGTGTCGCACAAATGAACTAGTGGTTGACAAATTCGTTGCCGGCGCTGGACAAACATGGAAGGCTCCCCTATTTTGAAACACTCCCAATGCCCAGCGTTTTGATCTTTGCTTACTTCGCGAGGTCCTGGACTTTAAACTTTGTGGGAAGACCATGTCTGGTGACAAATAACAAGTGTTGACCGTTTTGGCCCATCCACTCAGGAAGTGAGTTTAAGGCCCACTAAACGGCAGTTAACTTTGTTTGGTGGGTGATGTTGGGAAAATGTAGGGAACGCAGTTCTTCTCGACTATAGGGTCCAAAGCTTCACCCCCTACAAATCAAGTCCCTGTTGTCTGAGTCCCTTTGGACAAACAAAGTCTGGATTCAGTGTGAAACAGATCCCGGTCCTTGCAGTGACCAATGTAGCAGGTACCATACCATGATGTAAAACCTAGAGGTAAGAAACCCTCATCTACCATTGTCTTCAAGTGGAAGAGTAGTGCTCCTAGTTTCCCTGCAAACAAAGCGGCACCCTCAAAAGAACATAGCCATATAGTGTGCCCTACGGAAATCCAAAGTATCCTCCAGCATCCCTGCCTGCGATAGAGGAGCTGATCTTCCTGGAAGAGCGCCACGCTTTGCCCGCTGGCCGTGAGAATCCTGAATTTGGCTGAGAAAAAACCTTCGGGCACCCAAGGTCTGGAAAAGACGACGGCACAACATACTTGCCTTCCTCTTTGGTTGCACATAAAGCAGCCAAAAAGGGGGCTGCCCTTCGTGTCATTGTCAGAAACTCCGGATTCCCTAAATTTGCAAGTAGAGCAACAAGGGAAGTCTGTAAATTACCATTTGCATAGATATGTTGCCGCTTGCCATTTGGCTGTGGCTCAAAAAACCGGTACCAAAACGGAGCCCTAGTAAATGGAACCAAAGACTAAAACCCGCGTAACCCCCTCTGTTTAATTTTGAGCCACACCCATTTGCCAGAACCTTTGCGTTTAGACGCGGCCAGCTGGACGAACTCCTGCCCACAAAGCCCTGGCTTCTGATGATTCTTCTGGCAAATGCCAACAAACCTTATGGTTTCCTTCCCATGACACCTCATTTCTTGGTGCGGCCTAAAAGGATTTCGGACTTCGCAATCCACGTAGACACCAGCCCTACGCCCTGGAATGATTTGATTCTTCTGGACAATGGTGCGGCCCAAAGGGAAGTTTTAGCACCCATCCGCCTAGCCACCCTAGGTCCTCCAGTAGAGAGGATAGAATAAGAGTATCCTGTATCCTTTCTTCTGTAGTTTATTTTAGTAGGGGCCCCTCCCCCAAAAAAGCAAGCGGTAAAAGGGCGCTGGGGGACCTAGCGCCGGAACTCTGACGCGTCGAAACGCGCCTCCGGGGCCGCCAAATGATGAAGACCGGCTCATCCTCGAGGACCACATCCGGGTCCTCGAGCACCTGGCCCCGGAAGACCTCGGGGAGCTCGGGAAAACGACCCGACCGCGCCGGTTCAGCCGGGCGGTTTTTGATGGCGCACTTGTCGCAGCCCTGAAAAGGAAGCAAAAGAAAAAGAACACCCCATGTTGTTATGTTGGGGCTCCCAACCTTTAGAGGCAAATCCATTTTTCGATGGAGCTCCAAAGAGTACCCCCCAGAAGCATCTGTTTCCTTCGGTTGGCCGGCGTGGTGGGGTTCTCTCTGTCTCTCTAACAATCAGATAGGTAGGATAAATCACACGACGTAATGAACTCCCAGGAAAACAACCGACTTCCAACAAAGGTAAATCAAGATTCAGCGGACCAAAAACTTGTAAGGGGACCCCTGTGCGGGTTTCATGTTTTTGGGAGGGTACACCAGGGTGAGTTGATAGGCACAATTCCCTTGTGATTTAGGGAAGGGGTGACCAAACCAAAGTTGGGATATTGTGCCAACTGTCAACCAACTGTATATATCAAAACAGGAAAATAACAAAACTCGAAAATTATCAAACGGGAACATAGCCAAATGTCTGTTTTGGAAGTGTCACAAAGGACACCTATGGCCTGAAAGCAGGTATCCAAATAAAATGCCCTGCAATCATACGAATTACCTGCGGCCCCCTTTTTCATTCAATGTCTCCATCCCACCAAATATTTGAGGGTTGATTCCCCATTCTTTCCAACCATCGTTCTTTCCGAACACCGGATCCATTTCCCTGGGTTTCCGGAGGTTTTCTAGAAATAAATTCGGGTCCCTGGGCTCAGAATGGGGAAGGATCCCCACCCCCTTAAAAAAGGACATCCATTTCTGGTTCCATTTACCCTTTTATTGGGGAAGACGAGGTCAATGGAATTGGGCCCCCCCACCCCCAACAATTCCTTCCAAAGGCGCCAGGTCGAAGCCGTCTCTGGCGCAAGCCTTGGTCACCGCCGCCCGCAGATCTGCCACGCGAGGGGCGTCAGGCACGGAGGTCACGGTGGCGCCGTCCAGGGAGACCACGGAGAGCGGCATGGCGAGGGGTTGGGGGGGTTGCAGGGGGTTGAATGTTGAAGGGGTTGGGGGTTGGGTGTTGAAGGGGTTGGGGGGGTTGGGGGGGTTGGGGGGGTGTTGAAGGGGTTGGGGGGGGTTGGGGGGGTGTTGAAGGGGTTGGGGGGCTTGGGGGGCTTGGGGTTTTTGGGGGTTGTGGGAGGGGTACTGGTACCTGGTAGACAGGTCGACACCTATAGCCCCCCCTCCATTTGCGAATTATTACGTGCACTGGAGAAAAAAACACTCCCAGTGAGTGATAGCCTTGAAAACTGACAGGGGAAAATGAAGACATGTTCTTAAGCAAACTCTTTTAGCAACTTTTAGGGCATTGGTGTTTTGGAGCTCAGGCTTGCAACGTGTACTCTAGGTGTCCGTGGAACGGCTGGGGATGAGAGAATCATGAAGATAAGAATCCTAGCAAGGATCCCAAATGAAAGTAAGGTGTCCAATGTGTCCAATTGCCGGCAATCTTCATCATGTTGTTTATTAAGCACATGTTTCACGAGGGAGAAAATCCAACCGGTTGGTGATGGGTCCCCTTTGGGTCAACATTGGGTCAACTTTAGTGGGTCCACCACTTCAACTGCTTCTACTAATGTAGTATTGCCTCATGGAAATCAGGATGGTAGAGGTCATCTTTAATTTGCTTCATCGCCCCGTGCAAAAAGTAAACATATCTCCAGCAGTCACAGACTCCCTTTAAAACCAACAGGCCAACCGGGGCAACAAATAGAGCGTGTTCTTGAGCAAATGGAGGCCATGGTTCCTGCAGGCACCTGATGCATGTTGACATGTCGGGGGCTGGCAAGATGGCTGAAGGGCCGGAAGGCATTCAAACCGAGGACGAGGGCAGGTCACCCCAGTCACCCTGGTAGAAAAAGGGCACTGGGGTGGACAATTCTTAGAGGGGACCCCACCAAACATATACTGGGCGGAAAACCTACGATCTTAACAAGCTAAAGGGGGCGGCTGAGAAGCGCCAAGTGTAGGAAAGAAACAAGGGTGTCTCTGAACAAACAACTGGTGGACTTTGCGTGATCCGATGTCCGATTCCCTCCGTCCGACCCAAAAATATAAAACATATTGGGCAAAGCTGCTGCTACACTTCACTGGGCGCCTTGCAAACCGGCCAAAATGACCATGGCCATTTGGAGAATCAAGGCAACCTTGTCCTTCTTTTCGGAGACCTGTTAGCAAGTCCAGCCCCCTCCGAGGAAAAAAACCACCGAACGGTTTTGAGGTTCACCACGGGACAGCTTGAGCGGTCCCGGCGGTAGCTGCGCTGGGTGTATGGCAAGGACCCCTTGTCACAGCCCTGCCTGCGCATCCGGCGACGCCTGCGAGGCACCGACAGCTGCATGCGACCCGCAAGGGGAAAAACAACATATTTCCAGTAGCGCAGCGAATCGCTGGACGACATGCGATGTCTACATCCAAAAGCAGCCTGCCCAAAGGGCCTGCAAATGAGCGGTATCTTCTTGGGACATTGAGCAAACTCAGCCCCAACTGGCAAACAAGAGATTTCACAGGCCGGCTTTGGCGAAGTGAGAAGGGGAAACAACAAAGCCCTCCGGACTCTCCGCCAAAGACTCAGCTATGACCAATGATCGGTTGGTCTGAGTGGTAAACAAGGGGGACTGGAAAAATGTGACAAACCGCCACGCAGCCGTTTCCTTCAGCATCTGCAAAAATCAGGAGCTGCTTAGCACTGTGAAATGGTGCCGAACACTCCCTCTTTCACGCGGTCATAGGGGCTTTTGCCTTTTCCAAGCAGGGCGGCCCCAAATCCGATGTCCAATCCGGAAAGCGTGACCGAGTGAATCTGAGACTGGGTCCATTCAAGTGACATCCTCAACATGCCCTGCAAAATAGGATGTCCAAAGGAAAATCACCACAAAAGTAAACGTACTTTTGAGAGCCCTTCAACTTGCAACACCTTTAAAAGACCCAGTCTAAACCATGTTTGCCCCACCCTTTCGGACAGTGCCTGCCTGTGCGGGTGCCTCGTCTGCAACGTGCTGCTGGTGAACGTGGCTCGCAGCCTCTGCGATGGAAGCCGGCACGGCGAGCGAAAAATCCTACGCACATGTGTTGTCAGCATCTGAGCCTACCAGCGGACATGCACTGCATATATGCAGGCCCTAAACAGCAAGCACTTAGACACACAGTTCAATAGGCAAGATCGAACACGTAAGCAACATGGTAATTGTTAACTGGCAACAGCAATCAAATAGCACAGAGCAAGCAATCCTGCAAACAATACCTATCTATCTATAAATCAATCAATCAATCAATCAATGAAGCAAGAAAGCAAGAAAGCAAGAAAGCAAGAAAGCAAGCAAGCAAGCAAGCAATCAATCAATCAATCAAATCAAATCAAATCAAATCAAATCAAATCAATCAATCGATCGATCGATCAATCAATAAATCAATCCAATCCAATCCATTCATCCATTCATCCATTCATCCATTCATCCATTCATCCATCCATCCATCCATCCATCCATCCATCCATCCATCCACCCACCCATCCAATCCATCAATCCAATCCATCAATCCATCAATCCATCAATCCATCAATCCATCAAATCAAATCAAATCAAATCAACTCAAATCAAATCAAATCAATCAATCAATCAATCAAATCAATCAAATCAAATCAAATCAAATCAAATCAAACAATCAATCAAGTCAATCAACCAAGCAATCAATCAATCAATCAATCAATCAGTCAACAAATCATCCAATCAACCAACCAATCTGTGAGTCAGTCAATCAACAAACAACCAATGACACAGTCAATCAGCCAATCAATCAACCAATCAATCAAATGCAATGCAACCTGTGCCATGCAATCTATGCCACCTATCCAACCAATCCAATCAGTCGGTCAGTCAGTCTGCTAGCCAGTCAGTGAGTCAGTCAAACGACCAATCAATCAAGCCAAGCCCAAACCAAACCAAACCCAACCAAATCAAACTAAACCCAAACAAACAAGCAAAAACACAAAGCACAAAACGCACAACAAAACAAACAAGCACACAAACAATGCAAACAAAGCACCCAGGCCACAAAACAAAACAGAGCACAAAGAGCTGACAAACAGAACAAGGGAACAAACGGTACCTAAAACCGACCAATACACAGCAATAACAACAAGCTATACGTCCAAAAGCAAATGCAAAACGACAGGCCTGCCAATGGATAAGCACATGTAAATCTACAGAAACAATCCTCTAAGCCAGTACCAAATGAAAGCCCGTGCCAGTACCAAATGAAAGGATCTCCCTGGTATTCTTGTCCCGTGTCATAGTCAAAAGGTACCAACATGGTGAACCCAAAGCCTTGCAAAGAGTTTCCAAGGCGATAGATAACCTACCCATTTTGGGTTGGGAGTGTCCCCAGCTTGAAATTGCCCGAGTTTTGACTGCTCGCTGTAAGTTGACCAAGTGATGTTCAACTCCACCATGGGGGAAACCACTTTTGAGCCAATTTAAAGGGAGTGTGCTGTTGGTGGGGGTATTCAAAGGCGAACTCTGAAATATGGGTGTTTTTGTTTGGCCCTGTGTTTTGTGAAAAACCTTAGCGCGCGCACGCCCATGACCAAACAGGCAGTGCACTGCCAAATCATCACCTTGAGTCGCCCAGCAAAAACATGAAACATGGAAAATACGTCGAGTAGTAACTGATTCCCGTTAAAACCAAGGGAAACAAGACCCACTCATGTCAGCCAATGGAAGCTCATGTAGGCCCAGCAGCCTATCCTTTGACAGTCTGTTATCCATCTTTGACAAGGTGCCACCAGGTACAGCTTGGTGAACTTGTGGGTCAAACTCAGACACGCAACCACTAAACCAACGAAACACCTCTACCTGGAGTCTCCATGACCCTTTGAAAATAAGTCAATTTTCTTCAAAATGGGTCATTTCAATGACCCCTTTATTTTGAGTAATGGCCCCTCATGGAGGGAGTTGGCCCTTTTTGGGTTTAAAGATTAAAGGAAAACTAACACGGAACCCGAAATCCGGGTGGTCTTCAGCTTTTGGTGTCCGTTGAAAACACAACCGCAACAAAGGACCCCCTACAAGCCACCACCAAAAGGAAACCACCCATTTTGGTGGGTGGTCCTCTATTTTCAGACAAGCCCATTTAAGCTATGAACTTTAAGAGGCAACCACCTCAAAAGTGAGTGAACATGAATTCCCACCTAAATCATGTCCACCAGTTCGGGTCCCCAACAAAAAACATCACCGAATCACCCCCCATTTTGGTGTCGCCTTTTTTCAGTGGGAAAAGCTCCTCGGCCGCAGCGAACGGCCCAACGCCTCGGCGGCGCGCCGCGCCGCCGCCGCCTCGGCGGCAGCCGCGGCGGAGGCCGCGCGCTCGCGCCTGGCCGCGGGAAGTTTTGAAAGCGCGAGCCAGACCAGGCCTCGGCATTTCTGGCGGCTTTTCAGCTTTTGCTAGTTGTTTTTTGCTTTCTGGCGGCCGCTGTCGGCTCTTTTGTTGGGCGTTTTGGCGTTTTGGCGGCGGGGTTTCCCGTCCAGCAACCCTGGTAGTGCGTTGTTGTTGCGTGTTTTTTTTTGGTTCCCCTGTTTTTTTTTTTTAGGCATCCAGTCTGTTAGAATGAGGCAGCAGCTGCTTGTAAGGGATCTCTTTGGTGGTTTTCAAGCGATTGGGCGTGTCTTAAACAAGGAACCATGTTCTGCGGTTTCAAAGGGAAGCCAAGAATAATTCCACCATTTTAAGGGGTCCCCCAAAAAAACACTCTCCCATTTGGGTGGCCCGTCTTTGAGCCGGTTTTGAAGGGGAACGAAGAGGAACCCCGATTCCATTTTGGCTGGCCCCCCTAACGAAGACACAAGCATTTGAAGGGAAACCTACCATCGGGAGCTGCTCAAATAGTGGTCAGTTTGGGGCGCAACCCTTTTAGGTAAGGGGAGCCACTGGCGAAAGATTCCCTTCAAATACAATAGATATTCTTG